AGAGAGAGAGAGAGAGAGAGAGAGAGAGAGAGAAGGGGTGGAAACAGCGAGAGAAGGGCAAAAATATGAGATATATAGAGAAGAAATATTGATAACAAATGAGAATAGATTTGGGCGGGGGGGGGGTAGTAACAGATACTCCAGACAAGCAGAGAACAGAGAAGAGGGGTGATGAGAGCGAATGGATAAGATCAAGAGTAAGATAAGAACCAGGAGTAGATAATAGGGATAATCCCTATTATCTACTCCTGATAAGAACCCATTATTGGGATTATTATGAGTTATTATCTTTCTCTTGATAAGCTATAGAGAGGGATAGTGAGATAGGGACAGTACCTACGATTCACCGGCAGACCGACATATAAGCAAAGGGTTAAACAATAAACACACATCGCTGACTGAAGATGGCCACGATGCACCCACACTCGTCGCTAGAACGAGTAATCCCACGCTCAAGTAACACGCCCCTATGTCTCGGAAACCCACGCCTGCTTGCGATGCGCATAGCGTGCAAGTCGTAGTAACGTATCGCCGCGTGTGTAAACATTCCAGCGTGCGCTCGTGACTCGTCAGGTGACGAGTTCGAACGAGAATTTTGCCGCGGGGTTGGTTGCGCGCGCGCGTGTGATGACCCTCTAATGACGGTTTAATACACTCTGTCGTGGACAAACACGTATTAAGTAAGATATGCAAACCAGCTTTTCATTGCAATTGGCACTGGTACAAGTGCGCGGCGCCCTTCTAAGGGTTGACCGTGAGATCAGAGATAGCCGTGTAAGCGTGCGCGTGCGCGTAGGTGTGCGTGCGCGCGTGTGTACACGTGCGTCAGCGCGTGTGTTGGTGCGCGTGCGTTCGTGCGTGCATTTACACGCTTGCCGTAGTTTGTCCGGTTCAACCTTGCAGCGTATAACACGGTGTATAACGCTGGCGGCAATTGTGTGTGTGTGTGTGTGTGTGTGTGTGTGTGTGTGTGTGTGTGTGTGTGTGTGTGTGTGTGTGTGTGTGTGTGTGTGATGTCGTGTGTGTGTGTGTGTGTGTGTGTGTGTGTGTGTGTGTGTGTGTGTGTGTGTGTGTGTGTGTGTGTGTGTGT